TTACCATGGAACTAGATGGTGATGTGTGTTAATGTTCAAACATATTTATATTTATTTATTTGTAACTATCTTTAGATAATAAAACTTAATGTAATTATAAGCAATTAAGCTTAAATTATCACGATAACGTGCGAGTAATATTCAGTGAGGTGAAATTTTTAATTTCGCAATACGATCCATTATTATTAATGATTTGTATAATGAAATAGAATGACTCGACCATGTGTCCATTATCATTTACGATTATTTTAATTTATATATTTAAAATTCAGGTAGAATATAATTATAATGTATGTATAGAACAAATTAATCCATACTAATATTATAAATGTGAGTTTGTTGTCGAAACGGAGCGACGGATTGGCATAATTTTTTGTGTGGAGATAGTTGGAGGGCTGGAGAGTGACATGGGCTACTTTTGACCGCGGGGGATTATTTAATTCACATGGGAAAACATGTTATAATACAATCTAAAAAATATTTATGATCAGAATTACTCGAAACTTGGTATTAATGCTCTTCAATAAAATTAAATAAATACGTGTTGTAGCATTTTTCGAAATTCGTCATATAAGAGGGTAAAATAGGGGATGAAAGTTTGTATGAAACTACTTTTTTTAGTGATTTTTTTGTAGTTTTAGCGCGAGCGAAGCCGCGGGTTCTACTAGTGATTATATAAATAACAAATAAATAAGTACTCTTTCTTCATTGTACACCCACAAAAGTGAGGAAAATTAGTACAAGAAAAATAGAAACCTACCCAAAATGATAAAAAATGCTAATGTTTTTTTTAATTATTAGCATTCAGTATGCTATAACATTATTTTTCTTAAAATTTTTATAAAGGATGTTTATTATTTGTAATTAAAATAATATAGATTTTTTAATAAATTAACTTTTTTCTTAATAAAAGTACGTGCGTACTAATCGGAGTTAACATGGAAAAGTGGGACGTGAATAAAAAAATCTTATAAAATATGCGTTACAAATAATTAAAATTGTAAGATAAACTCATACCACAATATTGAGGTACGTACCGTATAAATCTATACATATAATAAAAATTGTAACTAAGTCGAATCTGTACATTAAATATTTTTTGGAAAATCTAACTGAAATAGACATTATTATCGATACAGAGTCCGAATCTATAGTTTTTAGAATTTTTGTCTGTCTGTCTGTTACCGCATCACGAGAAAACCACTGGACAGATTTTGATGAAATTTGGTATGATGATAGCTGGTTATCCGGGTCAACATATAGAACTTTTTACCGCGGGAAAATATCTCATTTCTGAGAAAAAATACAAAAACTGTATTGTAAGAGCATACTAATATGTAAAACCATAGAATTTGGTTTTTAGTCATCTGAACGCGGACGGAGCCGCGAGCAATGCTAGTCAATAATAGAACAGCAAAATTTGATTCAACCGAAACGTGTAGCGAACTAGCGAACTATAAACATTTTCCGTGTCTCTGAGGTAAACCTAAAATTTGTAGAGTGAATGTACCTAGTTGAAGTCCTAAATTAAACATTGTGACAAAATATTTCGATCTCCTACCACTGGGATTTGAGTACATTTTTTACAAACGAAAAAAAGTTTTATAATTATGCTATAAAATAAGAAATATTTTATTTTGGTTTTCATAGAAGATCTTTTTCTTTTTCTCCCTGCCCATTTCCCAATCACTTGACACACAATAGGATTTGGCAAAAGTTTTAAGACCGGCCGTTTTTTTAGTTTTTTTCATAGAAGATAATAATGATAATTATTAAATAGCACCTATAGGTGCACAATAATAAGGTTGGTAAATACCCGTTCAAGCTTAAATGACAGGTTAAAAATAGAGCGATGGTTTTTTCTTTGCATTAAAGGCTAAATATTTATATTTTTTCTTAATTAATAAAGTACTGAAATAGTTTGATCTCACTATCTATTAACTAAATTCAATAGAAATGAAATATAGTAACGTATTAAGTATACTAGTATTGCCCGCGGCTCCGCCCGCGTTCAGATAACCAAAAACCAAATTCTTAGGTTTTACATTTTAATATACTCTTACTGTGCAGTTTTTGTATTTTTTCTCATAAATGAGATATTTTCCCGCGGTAAAAAGTATCCTATATGTTGACCCGGATAACCAGCTATCATCATACCAAATTTCATTAAAATCTGTCCAGTGGTTTTCTCGTGATGCGGTAACAGACAGACCGACAGACAGACAGAAAAAAAATTCTAAAAACTATAGATTCGGACTCTGTATCGATAATAATGTCTATTTCAATTAGATTTTCCAAAAAATATTTAATGTACAGATTCGACTTAGACTTAGTTACAATGTTATCATATGTATAGATTAATAATATAACCTACCATAAAACATTGATATATATAATATATATATATATATATATATATATATATATATTTCAATTGTGTTGTCAATAGATATCCTTCATATATTACTTTACGAGTATATCTTAGTCGTTAGTGACCATGATATGAAATAGTTCTCATTGAAAATTTTTCACATTCTGTTATTAATAATAGAATTAAAATTGTATTGTGTTTGTTTAAATATTAACTGCACTTACAATGCAAAAGCTATAGATTTGTTACATAATAGTAATTGCAATAATTAGCGACGCAGTGACCTACGGATGAATGCACATGTCTCTAATATGACCCGGATACGTATTGAGTGATAACTCTGTACTAATAATAACATTAATATACTCGTATATCTCTACGTCAATCAACTAGAAAATAGTTTATATAAGTAAAATCCAGATATTCAGCCCTTTTTAACGTCCCACTGCTGGGCTCGGGCCTCCCTTCAATACGAGGAGGATCAGGCCATAGTCCACCACGCTGGCCAAGTGGGTTGGCGGACTTCACATGTCTTTCAAAAACTTGCTAGGTCTTCTCAGACATGCAGGTTTCCTCACGATGTTTTTCCTTCACTGTAAGGCAAGTGATAATCATGTTAGAAATGATTCGCACATGAAAATATCAGAGGTGCGAGACCCGGGATTTGAACCCGCTTCACTCGGTTTCCCAAGCAAGCGCGTTACCACTGGGCTACCAACGCCTGTATCCTGGTTAAATTATTATTATTATTTTTGCAGTAATGCGCGAATGTAAAAGCTGCGCATCATAATTTAAGAGTCGGCTTTGATTAATATATACATAGTTTGGTTAAGGGCGCACCGAGGCAATTACGAAATAATTGCGTTCGTTTGATCCCTTGCTGTATTGTTATTACTAAAACTTTAATTATGTAATTAATATGTAGGATATTTAAGGATTTATTCTATAAATCGTATACTTTAGAAACACGATTACTTGTAGTTTCCTCGATAGAAAAAAAATCCAAAATGAACTCTAAGAAACAAAATAAACCCTCAGTACGGCGTAAATAATTCAAGGAAGTTTATCAGTTTTTTCATAATAACAAAACTATACGTTTTCTATAACGTATACACTTTGCATTTTCGAAATGTGTATTTGTTTTAATAATATGAAAGAAATACCAAAATTCGCATGCGTTCCGTCCATACTAGCCCCCCCCCCGACCGCTGTCGTCCTACTAAAATAAAAAGCTCTGTGCCCCCTTAATTCCTTAACTAGACCTACTAATCGGTAACTACACTGCACTGTAAACTTTATTAATTCCTATTCTTACGCAGTACGTCACCCTATTTTTAAACTTTCGCTGTCCACACTAATTAGGTATGGCGGCCCATTCTACTCTCTATCAAAGTTAATCTGTTTTTTTTTTTTATCTGTAAAGATATCTTTTGAACCGTAATAGCTAAGTAACTATTATATAATAAACAAAATTTATATTATTGCTGCTTATAATACTAATATCTTTCATTTAATATATTATGAATATAAAAGGCCAAGGAGAGTTCAAACTTACATTTGTATATTTTTATGGAACCTCGTTAATATAGAGCTAGAGAAAAAATAGAAGAAAAGCAATTTTTTAGACATTTTCCATATGATAACTTTTTTAGCTACTATAAAAACGGTATTTGAGCACCGACATGCAATAATTATTGAATAAAAAAATTAAATATACAATTAACACAATTAGATTGTGAGGTGGTATTAAATCCTCGATGGGCGCACCTAACTTTTGCCCTTTGTCGTTTGGCCAACTTTTTGAAAGATATCTTCTTTAACTTTATATAAACTAATTAACATAGTTTATTATAATACATAGATAAGTATAACATATTAATGGTATACTGTTTTATAAATAATACAGGCTAGCAACTCTCGCGTTTGATTAAAGTTAACGAATCTAAGGTAGCGCCGTAGCTCTTAGAGCCTTTTGTACTGCAAAGGTCTATGAGGTTTTATTGTTATAGAGAAAGTCAATTTAGGCCTGTTCTAACAAACTACGGAATGTTATTTATGAACAGCAACCAGTATTTGTAGACCGTTGGCTAAAAATGTATATAAAAAATATATTATATATATGTAAAATATTTTAAAGTAACGCTTGATAATAATTCCGATAAGATTTTTTAAAAATAACGTTCATATATGTTAATAGTTGCTTGCAGAGCGAACTTATATTCGACAACAATTTAAAGCTTTTTTAAACGTAAAAGGTTTTATATTTTTTGAAGAAAAAAATCGGTATGAAAAGTTTAAACGTGTATTCCTCTATAGGCGGATATTTGCGGAAAACTCAACGACCCGCGCATTCAACAAACAGTGCTCAGCAACTACTTGTTCAATAAATGGAGATGAAAACTAAGCCATCACATAATTTTTATTGCATTGTTAAAATTCTTATTGCATAGCTACAGTAAACTTTAGGTTTTCAAAAAGATTACGCAATTTTACCAAGATTTTCAAGATTACAGTCCGGTTGTCGCTCTCGTAAGTGACGGATGCAATAAATCAGCTCCTTAGTTTATTTACATTTACCTACTTACAAATTATTAATATATTTGTTTTTTGAACTTTAAAGTTTAATAATATGATCTGCCCAAAGTGCAACGATGTTGTTGAGGATTTTGTGTTGTGCAATAAGTGCGGTGGACAGTACCACTATGTTTGTGCCGGGGTTTCGGAGCTTAGCTACAGAAAAATGGGAGTGGAAAAAAAAGCCGGCTGGCGGTGCATTACTTGCCGTTCACCTCAACTCACGGAGACACACCCCTCTTTGTCAGACGTGTTAAAAGAGATAAAAAGTTTTCGTAACGATTTTAGCACGATGAAGGTAGAATTTACTAACATAAAATCTGATATTCAATGCACCATGCAACATATAAAAGAATTGAGCAGCAAACTTGACACAATGGAAGGTCGATTTATTGAATTCGATCGTAGATTGACCTCTTCAGAGCAAAAACTATCTACGTTATCCATTGTGCAAAAAGACTTATTATCGGCACAAAAAACTATAGCTGAATTAAAAGCGCAAAATAATTCACACGATCAATATTCGCGACAGAACAACATAGAAATTTCCGGTATACCGACAAAGAAAGGTGAAAACGTCTATACAATATTAAATGACTTATGCGCAACTGTGGGTTTTCAACTGAGCGATCATGATATCGATTCTATACATCGAGTTCGTCCATACCCATCGAGTAGGACGGAAAGCAACAATGAACCTACTCGGCCGGCGTCTATTATAGTGCGGTTTTGCCAGCGGCGGCGCAAGGATCAGCTGATCGCAGCCGTGCGCGCGCGCCGCGGCCTCACCACCGCACACATCGGACTGCCCGGCCCGGCGAGCACCGTGTACATTGGTGATCACCTCACTCCAACGAACAAACTACTACTAAAGCGAGCACGCGAACTTAAACTCGAAAAAAACTATTCATACTTGTGGGTTAAAGACAGCAAGATACTTATTCGTAAAAATGATAATTCTAATATCATACGTATTTCGTGCGAGAGTGACCTACTTAAAATTAAATGACTATTTGTGTCATCGTTGTTCGTCGATTTATTAATATTTATAATGTTATTTTTTCTTTTTCCCTTATGTTTTACGCATTGTTCTAAAATAAGCTTCTTATGTTTACTCCGAACGCATAACGTCTTTGTTATTAATTTATTTCATTATTATCTGATATTCATTATGCAGAAATACATGCACTTATCAATAGCAATAGATACAACAAAAATCACTCACATACACCAGTTATTTGTATATATTGTACCCACGAATTTTATCAACAACTATAAAGAAATACTAATTGGTACTACATACTGCCAATCATATTGTTTTATATTTTTGTCCTTTATGTTCTTTTTTATAGATTTTAACGATACAAGCCCGAGAAAGGTACTTTACAATACCTCAGAATTTATCACAATATTATTATTTTTTTATATAATAATTTATTTATATATCATAATTTTCTTGTTTGTATATTTTATATATTCAATCTGATTTCGTTTAATTCCTTATCAATTTACTACCAGAACGTAAGAGGATTACGCACTAAATCACACTCTTTCTTAGCTAATGTTCTACAGAGCGACTACGATTTAATTGTCCTGACCGAAACCTGGCTAACTCCGGATTATCACGATGCAGAATACTTCCATACCAAATACATTGTTTTTAGGCAAGATAGGAAATCCACTGACGGGCAGGGCGCGCGGGGCGGCGGCGTGCTCATAGCGGCACGACGCGAACTGCGCGCGCGGCCCCGGCCCGAGTGGCGCTCGAGGCCCGCCGCCGAGGAGCTATGGGTGACGCTCGAGCTTGACGCCGCCACGACCGCTGCGGTGGGGGCCGCGCGCCCCTCCCGCCCCGCGCCTCGACCCTGTCGCGCCGCTAACGCTTCCTCTAACTTGCATATAGCTTGCTGTTACTTCCCGCACGGTAACAATCATTCTGAATCTTTACAAAACTTTTACGACAACACATTTGACATTTTGCAAAATAATCTAAATGATAATTTTCTAATACTTGGAGATTTCAATATTTCTAACGCTAGTTGGGATAGCTTTAACGATTCGACTCAATCATTTAAACTAAGTACAAATAGCGACGGCTTAGCGGGGGACTTGTGCGATTTTATGAATTTATCCAATTTTAGGCAATACAATGGCTGTGTAAATAGCAACGGACGAGTTTTAGACTTAGTACTTAGTAGCGATAAGTGCACTGTGTCCAATTCTACCACACCGTTAACCCCAGAGGATGCGCATCATAAATCTTTAGATATAACTCTCAATCTACAAACGCATGCTTTTATACAAAACGTAAAAACGCGTCTCAAACTAATTTATCATGCGGCTGATTTTAAAGCGATTGGCAAAGAAATATCGCGAGTCAATTGGATTGCTGATCTAGCCACCTTAAATACCGAAGAATCCGTCAGTTACTTTTATAATATTTTACAGAATTTAATCGACGTGTATATTCCAAAAAAACCTGTTAAATCACATTCTAATTACCCTCCTTGGTACTCCCGTAATCTTATAAAATTAATACGACAAAAAATGAATAAGCATTCTAAATGGAAAAAATACCGAAATGACCGAGATTATCAGTTGTACTCTGCCTTACGTTCTCGAGAAAAACGAGTTGAACGTGAATGCTACGAACGATATATAATTTTCTCTGAAGATAAGATTTCAACCTTCCCAAAATATTTTTGGTCATTTGTCAAATCTAAATTTGGCTCCAATAATATTCCTGCCGAAATGAAATTTAATAATGTATCTTCCAATAACCTAGAAACAATCACTAACATGTTTAACGAATATTTTAAGTCAGTTTTTGTCCCTCAAACTGACACAATTAACAGCCACATTGCCGTTGATGACGAGGTCAATATGTCTTCAGTTAATATATCGACTGTTGATATTCAACGTGAAGTTGTCTTAAAGCACTTTGAGCAAGTTAATGTAAATAAAGGTGCCGGTCATGATGGTATTCACCCAGTTTTAATAAAAAAACTTTGTAAAGAGCTTTCAACTCCACTTACTGTTATTTACAATAAGTCCATAACTGAAGGCTGTTTCCCGAGTATATGGAAAAAAGCTATCATCACCCCCATTCCTAAAGGGGGTGATATACACGACGTAAAGCAATATAGACCCATATCAAAGTTAAACATTTTTGGTAAAATTTTTGAAAAAATTATAACTAATATACTTACCTCTCACTTGTATCATGTAATAGCTCCCGAACAACATGGATTTTATCGTGGTCGTGGTGTAAATTCAAATCTTGTGATGTACACTGACTTTTTGCTTAATGCTCTTGATGTAGGTCATCAGGTTGATGCAGTGTATACTGACTTCTCGAAAGCGTTCGATAAGATTAATCATTCTGTTTTAATAAGGAAGCTTTCGAGAATTGGTATACACGGCGATCTTCTTAGATGGGTATGTTCATATATAAACAACCGTAGCCAAGCTGTTGCACTCAAGGGGTATGTCTCTAATTTTGTGGAAATCTCGTCTGGAATCCCTCAAGGCTCTCATTTAGGGCCGTTTTTATTTACTTTATATATAAATGATATGAACTCTTGCATTAGAAACTCTCATCATTTGTTATACGCTGATGATACCAAGATTTATAAAATTGTCCGTTGTGATGATGATTGTCTTGAGTTACAGCAAGATTTATATCAATTTGAGCAATATTGTAATAATAATCATTTGTTCCTTAATGTTGATAAATGCTGCGTAATAACTTTTTCTAGAAAACATCAGCCCCATATTTATAAATACAAATTACTAGGAAATACTCTGAACAGAGTAACCGAAGTTCGTGACCTTGGTGTCACGCTAGACTGCAAACTGCACTTTAACCTTCATGTTGACAAAATTGTAGCTAAAGCTTTTAAGCGTTTAGGATTAATCCTCCGTCTAAGCGAACCTTTTACTCGAGGTAATACACTAAAAATACTATATAACGCGTATGTGAGAAGCATTCTCGAATTCGGAAGTATTGTCTGGAGTCCTCAATATATGGTACACATCCAAAGAATTGAAAAAGTGCAACGGAAGTTCGTGAAGTCTCTGGACTATCGTACTGGTTTTTATTATACCGACTACGAGGAGAGTTTGACAAGACATAATATGCAGCTTTTGCACTCCAGGCGTAATTATTTAGATACCATATACTTATACAAAATTGTTAATAACTATGTAAACTCCACAGATTTATTAAACCTCATCTCTTTCAAAATTCCCCGCTCCTCTTCCTCTCGTTCCAAAGATACATTTCATATACCTTCATATCATACTAGGTATGCAAAAAATACCTTTCTCAGGCGTTCTTGTTCATTCTATAATAATAATTTAACTGTTGTTGATATTTTTTCGTGTAAACTAAGTATGTATAAAAAGCAAGTGTTTCGTATAATATTCTAACTATGGGCTTTTATTGTTTATAGTTTGTACTATGATAATATTATTAAAATTTATTTGTTACTATTACTATAATTGCTTTCTATATTTGGCCAGTAGGTACAAACCAATCAATGTTTTAGTTTTTCGGAAATTTTGTATAAACTTATTTATTTCTAAATATTGTATAAGACATATGTATTTTTGTTTCTTTTTTAGTAGCTTCAATTTAGTTTTATTTAATATTTTTTTTTTTATTTAATTAGTTTCACTTATTTTGGTAAACATACTTATTTAGCATCCGTCACTTTTGATGACAAATCAGTTCATTTGTAATAATTTAGGGTAATATAGGTCTAATTGTATCCTTACTGTTTTAGATTTTTTGTTTACGACTGTTTTTACCTGAATAAATAAATAAAAAAAAAAAAATAAAAAAAAATTTTTCTGTCACATTTTATGAGAGATTTGAACTATGAAGTATAATATCTCAGAAATATATCTTGTGTTGGAATAGAAAATCCTCAGATGTTATATATGTTATTATAAATTTTGTTAGCTTTTATACCATTTCACTATACCTAATTTAAATCGAATATTTTTGTTATCAACGTTATTGTTACAAAGAAACTCTTTTATGTATTACTTGTATAGGACATACATATAAACCGCGGTTGGAACTTATATCGCTTGAATGGTATTCAGCCCTTTTTAACGTCCCACTGCTGGGTACGGGCCTCCCTTCAATACGAGGGGGATCAGGCCATAGTCTACAGTTTTTTTTACAGAAAAACTGAATATCTCGCCCATGAACGAATTGTCTCTAATTCGTTCATGATCTCGCTCTTCCGAATCTGCGACCGTACATACTGACAACTAGAACACCGAAGCATTTTTGTACTGACTTATGCCCGAATTCACCAACGTCACCTAAGTTTAAGGGATCCCCTAAGCATGGTTAGAGGGCTGTTAGGGGACAGTTTCTGTTTCACCGACAGTTAGGTGTCACCTAAATATTAAAAGGCCCCCTAAATTTAGGTGCTCGAAATATGGGCTTAAAGACGATCGTAAAACGAAATTTAATCTAGGGGCTAGTTTAGGGGACTTTTAAGCTAGGGATCCCATACGTAGGAGGTAGCTTATGGGTTGTTGGTGAAATCGGGCATTAGTCTATTAGAGATAAGACATACTCGTATGTATAAGGTAACTATTATAACTGCTTGCAATATCTGCGATAGCTTGATATTTTTAGTGTAAAGCGGTTTTTAAACCGCACTGAGCACATCACGTCATAACGTTAATGAAAATAGCAATTATTTTTATGATGACTGAACCAAGCATTGACATAATTCAAAACAATTTGTATGCTTCCTTATGATATGTCTTATGATACATTAATCACAAATGTACCATAAATAGAATTAGAGGGATACAAATGTAAATATAACATAATAATAAGTATTTCAAATATACGATCAGCATTTTACTATATTAAAATTACTCATAGAAATCGTAAAACGTGTAATCATTACAAATCACCTATACATATGTGTAGTTTTAACTAACATCGTACCTATTTTGAGAAACGCCAGATGGCTTTAGGTCAAGATACGAGCTGAAACGAGTATTCTTAAGCTCTCTAGTTTTTCTAATTCAAAACCACCGTACAATATCATTCTATCTTCTAAAATATATCTTCGAACATGTCGATATAAAACTAGGTTTAAAAATTGACGAGAAGGTATCATAAGATGAAGAAAAATATAATATTTTGGTCCACGAAATCAATGTGGTGATAACATGTAACGATCGAGTCAATTTCCAATACACTTTATTTATACAGTAAGATAGTCTCGAAGGCACAATCCTATGAACATTAACGATACATTCATTTTATATTACCTATATGTTCTTTATACCCTATAGTAGCCTTCTTGGAAATGTTTGTGTCTTGTTGTGCAATAATAATATTTTTATTTACAAAATTAATTGTAAGTCTAACTTATAATCATATGCTATACCAGCATTGCCCGCGGCGTTGAGATGACCAAAAACCAAATTCTTAGGTTTTACATATTAGTATATTCTTACATTGCAGTTTTTGTATTTTTTCTCTTAAATAAGATATTTCCTCGCGGTAAAAAGTATCCTATATGTTGACCAGGATAACCAGCTAGCATCATACTAAATTTTATCAAAATCCCTCCAGTGGTTTTTCCGGGATGCGGTAACAGACAGACAGATAGACAGACAGACAAAAATTCTAAAAACCATAGATTCGGCCTCTGTATCGATGATAATGTTTATTTCAATAAGATTTTCCAAAAAATATTTAATGTATAGTTACAATTTTATTATATGTATAGATATACAAGACAAAGTAACGTATATATTACAAACTAGCAAGTTTTTAAATACAAATAACAAATAAAACTAAAACTTTATCTTCATTTATAATAAATTTCAAAAACGTTATATAAATAATATAATATTACTATTATCTTAATAATAAAAGAAATAATAAAATTGTTTAAGTATAAGATATTTGGCAACGCTTTCTGTCCTTTTAAAAGTTCATCCCTTTGTAAGTAAATTTTTGCCCACGAATGGCGCACTGATAACATTCAGTACTCCTCCATCGATGGTAATGTCAAGGAGGTCGGTTTGACCTTTCCGAGGGCTGTCAATGAATCCGCCCAGTTACAATAGTGGACAAATTGCCTACTAAAAATATTCGCTATTTCCGTACCATGTTATAATTCCGGTACAATAAGCCATTCAAACAATAAAAGTAGGTTACGGACTCGTATTTTAGTTCTGGAAACACATGAAGATGGCTATTAAAACGTGATGCTGACGAGCATCGTTATCTATGTTATACTCGTATGCTTAGGTAGATATAACTATAATAACCTTTGGTATCGAGACAAGACTTGATTAAATAATGAGTGTTTAATCCCTCCACGAACGTGGACACGCCGGCGTGTCAGTTAACAATAGATTTCTTAGTATTTTAATGAATTTCTTAGAAATTTACCTGGAGGTGTAGCTATCATGCAGACTTCATCATAAAGTTGTATTTGAGTTCAGTATAATACGAAAATACACACCTACATAATTATATATGAAATCTATACACTATACAGATAAATAAAATTAGAGTGTCTGTAATGTCAAAATAACAGCTTTTTACTAAATGCATATGAAATTATATACGGTATTTACAAGAAAACTCACAATTTTTAAGTCTGTCTGTATGTCTGGCTGTATGTTTGTTCCGGGTGATCTCCGAAACGGCTGGACTGATTTTTACGGGACTTTCACTGGTAGTTTATTTCCATAGTACATTATCTCATACGTTAAAGAGGAAATCATGGTTCACTTTATATTTATGGGTTTATGTACGGATTAACGTGTACAGATAAGTACATATTTGGAATTTTACAGTAATATTTCGGTAATCTTATAGGGCTTTATGTGTTTATTCTTGCTTTTTAAATTTGATTAATCACTTTTATATTAAGGCCGCATTATCTGGCTTGATATTGGGTAATTGCTTTGATCATTTAAACAATTACTTAATAGTTAATAATATTATATACGTGTTATATTTTTACATTCTTAAACATTATAAATTTTAAATTAATTGACATAAGATATCAATATTGTTTCAACGTTACACATATATTTAAATGGCTATTGGGGTCGAATTAATTTACATTCTTAGACATAGAAGAGCTACTTCTTACCACAAAGGCTGAGATGTGTTTCAAACATCTCCAATTAATTTCAAGGGCTGAGTGAGCACCATAGGCTGATTCAAGATTTGCGCATGTCCTACTTTCATAATTAGTTTTTAAGGTTTCAATGCATTAAACATATCGCGGTCAAATAATTGAGACTATGCAAGCTATTTAAAGGTACAACGTATGTATGTATTCGTAAACGTTGTTTCTTTTTCCACATTATTAAGTATAATAATAAGATAGCCATAATAATAACATAGCCATGTCAAAAATATTTCCGGTTTTTTTTAATTTTAAACAAACGCGTTTGATAAATATTTTTATGGTTTATTTTATCAATCGGGCAAAAACACAGCTAAATATTTTATTAGACTTCAGGTAATGTGGACACTTCCATTTCTACTATTGTTTTATTTGATTACTCTTTGTGGAAGATATTTAGTGCTCTGTAGGGAAATCATTATACTAAACCCGCTCTGGATTGGATTTCGCAATATGGCACAAAAGTACATATAGATATGAGCTAACCCCATATGTATACAGTAGGAACGCGGTTACACCCATATTACGTGACGTTGGGTTTGGTATATTAAGAAATCTAAAATTATATCTTTTTCAAAACTCTCGTTTTCGGCTATATGCGATGTTATACGTATAATAAAATTCTAACCGAGCCGAATCTGTACATTAAATATTTTTTGGAAAATCTTATTGAAATAGACATTATTATCGATACAGAGGCTGAATCTATAGTTTTTAGAATTATTGTTTGTCTGTCTGTTATCGCATCACGGAAAAACCACTGGAGGAATTTTGATGAAATTTGGTATGATGATAGCTGGTTATCCGGGTTAACATATAGGATACTTTTTACCGCGGGAAAATATATCATTTTTAAGAAAAAATACAAAAAGTGCATTGTAAGAGGATGCTAATATGTAAAACCTAAAAATTTGGTTTTTGGTCATCTGAACGCGGGCGGAGCCGCGGGCAATGCTAGTGGTATATATAAATGTTCGAAGTAATACTAGCGTAATGAATTTTCAAAACTAATGAGTTATCTAGTCATGTAACAGTTCTCAATATGTGCAAACACCGACTAATCGCAGATATATTTTGTAATTGTATAGTGATGAATGACATTCTATGAATGAAATATCTCTGTCGCTATTGACCATTGTGTGAACAAAGGTGTATAAACTACTGTTCGTGATTTAAATAATGATCCAGTTTAAATTGCAATGGGCCAATTGATGATAGTTTCTGCAGAAATTGACACAATGAGATTGTTAAGGCATTCACGTATTTTTATACAAAATCCATTAACAAGGTTATAAAGCATCAGTGAACTTTTGAAATCAGAATTACATAAACTAAAATATTTTTCAAATATACTAAATTTAGCATGATATTTATATCAGTACTTCTCGTGGTCGATAATGTTAACTGAGAAAATCTTAGACTACAGGATATACCAATTTAAGTAATACTTACTGTCTTATCGGATTATTTCGCGGATTTATTTTGATTTTTGGTTCCCGACGTTTCGAATGCTTTACAGCAATCATGGTCACGGGAGAGACTAAAGTTATAGACGTCTCAAACACATATACTTGTTACAGACTGTATGATTGCTGTAAAGCATTCGAAACGTCGGGAACCAAAAATCAAAATAAATCCGCGAAATAATCCGATAAGACAGTTTTATTTAAAACTAGCATTGCCCGCGGCTCCGCCCGCGGTCAGATAACCAAAAACCAAATTCTTAGGTTTTACATATTAGTATACTCTTACATTGCAGTTTTTGCATTTTTTCTTAGAAATGAGATATTTTCCCGCGGTAAAAAGTATCCTATATGTTGACAAGCTATCACTATACCAAATTTCATCAAAATCCCTCCCTTCTATGATGCGGTAACAGACAGACAGACAGACAAAAATTCTAAAAACTATAGATTCGGTCTCTGTATCGATAATAATGTTTATTTCAATAAGATTTTCCAAAAAATATTTAATGTACAGATTCGGCTTAGTTACAATTTTATTATATGTATAGATGTCAAATATTCGCGTAAATCTAAGAAAGTATTATAATACTTACTGCATTAAACACGATAAAAACTATATCGCACATTAAACTACATGTTTAAGTACATTAGAGAGCAAAATTTTCCGCAATTAATAATCAGCTTAATACTTGTAATATGTAAGCTCAATCAGTAAATATCGATTCAGGTTAATGTAACTAGGCCACGTAACCTTTACGTAGATATTATCACTTACCGCAAACATAATCTGAAAACTATGAATATTGAAACATTTTATTTGAAAGTTTATTTTTTGATATTTAAACATAAATCTCCATAAATTATGAATCTGATGAATTTGTAGCTTAAATAAGATAATAATCTGATTCATCATGTCAAATGTCTAACGACAATAAGAAACAGATAAGCGTCGAATGAAATTGTAAACAACAAATAAATAAAATAAAAGAAATAATATAAACAATAAAGATTAAAATTAATAACAAAACAATAAAACAAAAAACTTGATGTGTATGTACGATATATACATATATATATATATATATATATATATATATATATATATATATATATATAAAAGATTTTTTCGTCGCTTTGGAATTTTATTGCGCAGATGTTTGTGAGAATCTTTTAAACCAGTTAAAAAGTATATTTTAAGATTCTGCTATTAATTTGTTGTTCTGTAGTTTTGGTCTAGGGTTTTTAATAATTTACAGGAAGTGATCTCAATAGGACTTGCCATAAGCAATATAAACAGGAACACCGTTTGAGAGATGCCAATAGATATTGTCAAAGATCGAACACGTAGGAGTGGTTCAAAGACTGATTAAAGAAAATTAATGAGTTTTTTTAACACATGAGTCATTACTGTACACTATGATTCATTCACCTTAATAGACCATTAAAGTATTTAATTTGACTTTTTAATTTAGTAGAACCTCACTTATGTGAAGCTAGCTATAGAATAGAAGAGTGAAAAGTGGTTACACATTTTTTTTATAGGTAATAATCTTACTAATACATATTATAAGTGTGAAATTAGACGTAAAAAATAAAAATTAGATGTTTGGATGTTTATTATACGGCCAGAACGGATGAACGGATGTGGATGAAATTTGGCACAGAGATAGATTGTAGTCCTGAATAGCACATAGACTCCTTTTTATCCCGAAAAAATGTACGGTTCCCGTGGGATATACTTGTTTTTTTAGAGGCGAACCAGAGCGAAGCGAGGGTGAGCCGCTAGTGTATTATTATTAGTGCGTCGTGTAGTGGCTGAAGTTCGGGGAAAGCAACTAGTTTTTTCAAATATTTAATGTCTTGATAATTAAAGCCTCTTTTTCATATCTACTGAAAAAAAGCCTTGAGACAGTCTTAGCTAACAGTTAAGAAGAAATCGTAAGATGTTTTAAACAATCTCGTGTTTTCAAGACGAATACAAGGGGAAAATTTAGAGGGCAACGTTGGCAGGTTCGAGAGATCTTACGACAAGGGTCTTCAGCAGAGCACCTGAATACAACCGGAGCTTTGTGCTGGTTTCGTCCATTGTTCGGACATCAAGGTTGCCGCTCATGCTGAAATAACATCTTTCAACATGATGAATTCTTGCATAGTTTTTACTACACGTAAGTACAAAATATTAAGTCGATTTAAGTAATTTAGTAACCACGCAATAAGTAAAAAAACAAAGCAATATTAATTTGATAGGTATAGGTATTTCTGATTTATAACTAATGAATAAAACATGTCTAAATGGATATTATATTCAAATTTTATGTGATATGTATATCATGTAAAGTCTAAAGATCGATTTATTGAGTGTTAATGGATTTTGTGGTTTTCTTAGGTTGCGTACACAAAAAGTTAAGTCGCAACGCTATTACTAAGCCTACACTAAACGTCCGTCAGTAACTCTGTTCTAACTTTAAAGTATGTACTGTATTTTGGACCCTTCTGACATTTTACAGAATATATGCATATGTTATTATATACAGTAGGGTAATATTTTCTCTAGGAATTAAGCGATTGTTTAATGTTCAATAATAAGTAAAGTAAGTTTTATCTAACGCATCTACGTTGAACAGCGCGCAGCATGTTTATGACGACTGTGTGTTTTATGACGAAGACGAACATATATAAAATGATTTTCTACATTAACATTTTCTATCTCCTATTATCAATGAATGAAGATGATTATTTTTTTAAGACAAGAATGGTCTGAAAATCTATTCAAATCCAAAAAAATGTTTTTAGTAAAATTCACATGCTATCGTTTATGACTCCTCTGTTACTTGGGTACCTAATGCTCAGAAATTCGTAGTATAGGAAACTTAGAATTACTTCTATGAATTATGTTCGGTATAAAATGACTCGGTAGTAGGTAGTGGTAACTTAGTACCCGGCAGGAGGCAGGAACGCACTCGCTTGGGAAACGGATTGAAGCGGGTTCAAATATTGGGTCTCGCACCTCTGATATTTTCATGTGCGAATAATTTGTAACATGAATACCACTTGTCTTAGAATGAAGAAGACATCGTGAGCAAAACCTGCATGTCTGAGAGAACATAGCAAGTTTTGAAAAGACATTTGAAGACCGCCAATCCTCACTTGGCCAGCGTGGTTGACTATAGCCTGATCACCTTTGTATTGAAGGGAGGCCTGTACCCAGCAGTGGGACGTTAAAAAGGTCTGATACAAATTAATGAGTAAACCAAAATATGGTACGCTACCTTCCTTACTACAAAGCTGAGGTTCATGTGTTGAATTTAGACTAAAGACTTATTATAGACGAATTTCGCAAAAAAATCAAAGTCCAAAATTAGTTGCATAACTTTAAACGAAGGTAAATCCACTCTGAGAAATATTTGGCACTTCTATACGTCGTTATTGTTTAAAAAACCTTTACATATTACGACAAATCTATTTTTATTCCTAAGAAAAATGCTTTATATTTTCGGGAGATTTCATAAACACCAGGTAACTTACCACCTGGTATAGAAACCGGTTAGTAACCTTTTACCTAAAAATTTCAAAGACATGCTAATCTCAGTTAAGTGAAGTGTCACGAGAATCGTGACTAGATTTAACACATGATATATTATTGCGTTTCATAAACCTTAAGGTCGTAATGACTTTAGTTAAGAATTATATATTATCGGCATTAAATTCAAGGTTTTGTTTAACATAATGTATCTGTTTAGTAAATTTTTAAATTGTATAAAATTTCGATAATTATTAAATATTTATTAAATGTAGATAAGTTGGCTTTTGGTAAAATTTATTACTCACTAGCGACTCACCCTCGCTCGGGTTCGTCCCTAGGTGATTCTTTAAATTGACGTAACTTTTTTATGTATGAACCGATTGAAATAAAACAAATACTAAATGTTAAGTGAAATCTACGACAATATATTAGTGTAAACAGCATCCAAATCGGTTAAGCCGTTTCTGAGATTAGCGCGCACAAACGCATAGAGAAACAGACAAACGGACAAACAGCCAAAAAATCTAAAAATCATTGTTTTGGGTTCTACAGCGTAAATAAAGACTCCCAATGATAGTTTTTCTCAAATATCTTCCATGTACACACAGCGATTAGTTACACTTTTATTATATATATAATAGTGTTAGTGTATAATAAAATAGTGTTTGTATAACTACTTGAAACTCCAAATCCAAACAAATGGAATTGCTGGAAATAAAATCTGCTAAACCTTTTTTTTTAATAAGTTGTTTATGATATCATTTTGATTTTAGCGAAAATAAATCGATTTTTTACGTTTATGTTAATAATGAATAATTGAGGCAATTCTCATTTCCATTGCCTGGCATAATGATTAATGACAAAGTTATTAATTATATATATATTATTCTTATTTTCTTTTTTTATGAATAGTAGATATTTTATCAATATACCTAATGTCAAAACCAAATAAGTATTTTTATTTAGTAATATATATATATATATATATATATATATATATATATATATAATAAAATTCTGAGTCAAATCTGTACATTAAATATTTTAAATAAAACTATCTTTTCGGATTATTTCGCGGATTTATTTTGATTTTTGGTTCCCGACGTTTCGAATGCTTTACAGCATCCATGGTCACTCGATCTCATCACATCACACTATTAAAAATAGCTAATCTTGAAAAAGTATATCAATAGCACTATTTTATTCATTAAAAAAATATTTTAATTAATATTTATTTTTGTATTATTTAGATATTTGTCAATAGATGGCGCCATGTCTTTAAAATACGTAGTTTTAATTCCAAAAAATTAAATGTACAAATTAGACGTTTCTATGATTTTATTAGAATTACTACTAAATTACCCGCGGCCCCGTCCGTGTTCAAATTATCGAAAAACAATCTTTTTGGCTTTATAAATTAGTTACATCTATAGATACATTAAAATGTAACTAAACCGTATCTGTGCTTTAATATTTTTGGACAATCTTATTGAAATACACATTATTATCGCTAACAGAAGCCGAACCTATAGTTTTAAAAATTTTTGTCTGTCTGTCTGTCTGTGACCGCATCACAGAAAAATTGCTGGAGCGAGTTTAAAGAAATTTGGTACGGTAATAGCTGGTTATCCGGGTCAACTAATATACTAATACGAGTATACTGATATATAAAACCTAAGAATTTGGTTTTGGTCATATGAACGCGGGCGGAGCCGCGGGCAATGCTAGTGTATTATACTTTTTTTATACATGTTACGTCCTTCATAAGATTATTGTTATTAAACAAAAATATGCACGTGCAATTAAATAAAACTTATATTTAAAATGCTAAAAACTATTTTTGATTCATATAATTCTTTGACCTATTTCTTATGGAAATGTTTACTCGTTCAGCGAAAAATACTTTGATGCCAGTTGGAGCATTTTTGAAGCTAGCCGTAAAACGGGGATTGCATAATGTACAGGTGGTCACGGTTTTACATAACTTACCTTATTTACCCCTAAGGGTTGTCATAAGAAGGTAGAAAATCGCTTTCTACTAACAACAATAAATAATGCTATGTACTAAAGTTAGCGAAAAATATAGGTTTATTATTGTATTCTTAGTAGGCTACTTATATCTAGTATTATTATTTTTATTACAGAGTTCGTCTATCATTGTTTTTATTATATACTAGCGACTCACCCGCGCTTTGCTCGGGTTCGTCCCTAGGTTTATTCCCCATACATACTTTCATCCCCATTTCCAACCCTTTAAAGGATAAAAAGTATCCTATGTACTTTCCAGGGTCTCAAACTATCTTCTTACCAAATTTCATCAAAATCGGTTCAGTAGATCCAGAGATTACCCCCTATAACGTCACAAACTCACAATTCACAAACTTTACCTCTTTATTATAGATATCCATTTATTTTCATTACGTCGAAATAATGTTCTTAATTAATATAAGACGTAAACAGTAAATATAACCGATATGTAGCAGCCCTGTTACATCGATTTACCGAACATTTCACGCTCAATATGTAATTTTCCGAAAATTTAAGAATCGACGTTCCGATAAATCAATTCGTCACAATTTAAATATATGATTTAGTAACAAATAAAAATAAGAAATGCTTAGTATTTAGCTTATATTTGTAACTTAATTGTATTTTATGATACTCCGCTGATAACTTGTCTCTACGCGAGAGGTCGCTGATTCGAGTCCTACTAGCGACATATTATTATACATAAAAAAATGCGTTGTCCGACACACAACCTTTAAGTTTTTTTTGTATCTTGTATTTTTCTGAAAGTAAATATTATTATTCGTTTGCGAAAATAAGTATTTCAAACCACTTAAATATTTGTCCTGATTTGGCTGTGTTCTTTGCTATTGGTGCTGTTAAGTGTTTATATTATGTATATAAAATTCGTATGTACTTTATAGCTTTGTGTAATTATTTTGAAGTGTTACTAAAACAGAAATTACTTATTAGTAGAAGTTGATTTAAATAATTCAACCGTACCTCTGTATTCTCATAAATATTCCGTGAATCATATCGGAGATTTTGCCTAATTTATATTCGTGGTTAGTTGTACTGGCACAAGTTTATACAAATGACCAAAAACCAAATTCTTAGGTTTTACATATTAGTATATTCTTAAAAAGGTATTTCTTTTTTCTCAGAAATGAGATATTTTCCCGCGGTAAAAAATATCCTATACGTTGACCCGGATAACCAGCTATCACCATACCAAATTTCAACAAAATCCCTCCAGTAATTTTTCTGTGATACGGTAACAGACAGACAGACAGACAAAAATTCTAAAAACTATAGATTCGGAGTCTGTATTGATAATAATGTCTATTTCAATAAGATTTTCCAAAAAATATTTAATGTACAGATTCGGCTTAGTTACAATTTTACTATATGCATAGGTTATATACAGCGGCATAGAATTCCAGTAATCACCATTACCGAAAAATTGATCATAAAATGATTTTCCATGTCGCGCTTTTGATATACAAACTTTTTCGTCGAAATCTACTCGACTATAATTAAAGATCATATATTTTCTCAGAAAACTTAAAGATTGTGATTGGAGTGG